TATGTGAGCAAAAACCAAATATACAAACAGACAGCGCAAAAGTAAAACAGCCTACTTACATGTGTTTCTTATGTAAGTAGGCTGTTTTACCTTTGCGCTGTCTGTTTGTATATTTGGTTTTTGCTCACATAAATTTGTATTCGTCTTTTTGCAGAATATTCTGTATGTTATTGTTTTCTTCTTAGGCCGTCATATAAGAAAATGTCAATAGTATACAACTCTTTGTTATTTTAGTGATAATTATGTGGGTAGTATGAGGTCTTTCCGCATCTTCAGAGCATCACAAATGATGGCGGCGAATTAAAAGCGCTACAGTCGTAGTATATTTAAGGATATATGCACCTGGATCTATTCGCGTAATATCTGTTCCTCTATTTTATTCAGTATCTTTATTTGAATATTATGCATATTGAAAATACGATATCCAATGAAAGTGTGATAATCCGTTCCAATGTTCAGCAAATTTTAGAAATTTCTTTGCTTAGTATAACATCTATGGAAATTTAGTACATTTTTTCATCTGCTTTTTATTTCGTGCATATATCTGTAAACTAATGTGACATTACAATGTATTTGAGAATTGAATGTACTCGTCTCTCAATTTAAATATTGAAAAATAAATATTTTTCTCTTTTGAAAAGGTCGGAAAAACTTAAGCAATTATTTTTTGTTTATGTAAAATGTAAAATTTTCAATTTTATATTATTTGAATAAGTTTATGCAAACACACTTTCTTTCCACCTGTAAATTTTCTATCGTATATGCACATTTACAGCGAAATGAAAATTGTTGAGCAAAGCACATCGATAACTTGCTACAATATAATTTGTGTGTTTTTAGTTTTCATTGCCCTAAAGTATAATTTTAAAGTTTGAGCGCCAGTATACACATTTAGAAACATAATTTCACTTCTTTAGTAATTCGTCAGTACGCTTGCTGGCCATTTCGAGTCTTAATTTATTTTGATCGCCCTAGAAAATGAAAAACGAAAAAAATATAAAAATAATAAATAAAGAAAATATAATAAAAATGAATTTTAAAAAAAATCAATAAAAAAGGATAAAAATAAAAACCTAAGAAGCCAAAAACGGAAATATTTGGAAACAATCCTGTGACAAAATCAAACGTTGGTTCACCAAGAGCAATGTTTATAGACAAACACGAAATTGTTTTTAGGAATGTGATATTTTAGTGAGAGACAGAGAGAAAACAAAAACACGTCCGCACGTTTGGGGAGAGAAGTGTGTCGTTTTTGGCGTAAACGAAGATGGCACGAAAAAAAGTCGCAAAACATTTGATAGGTTTGTTGATGAATGTATTTGCCAGACCAGAATTTGGAGTATTTCTCTTAAATATATTGTGTATATATAAATGTTTATCTTCATTTTATTTTCTTTGGTTGTATATATAAAGATGTGATGTTTTGTTTTGTAATATTTTATTTCGTGCGCGCGTTAGTCCGTTGAATTTTAAATCATTTTTTTTTGTCTCGCGTTTCGATTTTTAGATTCTCATATGTATATATATATATTGTAATATTTATATTTTTTTAAAATAATTGCATTATCATGCTCTTATACAAAAGGAAAAAAAATACTATATTGTATCCGAAATATTTCGTTTGTTCTTGTTTTGTTTGTCTTTTTTTTTTGTTTAAACTTTTGGTTTGATTTGGTTTGTTTCAATTCGAAAACGGACAAAACCATCCGTTTCGTGTACATAGTTGGCGCCGCTTTTGGCCTGATCCTTTCACACGGAACGAACAAAAATTTTGCATGACGCAATAAATTAGTCAAATACGTATTTCATTTTGGTTTTTCAAAGTTCTATGGAAATGGAGCAAAGGACAATTTAATTGACTTTAAATATCTTTTGAGTTTAATTTTCTTTGTTTTTTTTTATAGATAATTATTTTCAGTTAGATTTGCTTTTAATGACATTTGCTCTATGGCGAAGTACTATGTATATATGACTAACGAAATAAAAATAACTGTTGCTTGGCCACTCGCGCTTTTTTCACTCTCTCTATATAGTTATATAATTGAATGGAAAATATCATATATATCATGTATATATATCTTTTTGTTTTAATTTGGCCAATGGTTTATATATGTAGACTTCTTTTGCTGGTTTTTTCCCTTGCTTTTTCGCTTCTACATTATATCTCATGAATCACAAAATAAAATGTATTTTTGGTCCATTATTTATTAGTTTCATTTTTTTATCTGTATTTTATAAAGTAAACCGTTAATAAATCACATTCAATTATTGTAATTTTATTAGCATCGACAAAGTGGACTCGATTTTTGTTGTTGTTCGTGTTTGTTGAAATAAAATTTTGCATGTTTTAAAAAAAAATAGCGGGTAAGATCTAAAAATACACACGTCTCTATATATTTCTATTCATTTTTTTTTTGCATTTTTGTTGATTTTTTTTTTTTTTTGGCTCGAATGTAATGCATTCTATGGAAGTAGAAGACTTTGACTTTTATGGTAAGTTAGTTTTTTTTTCGTCGTTTGCTATTTTCATTCTGTGTATGCATGCAAATCCGTTGTTATTTCTGCATGATTCATAGCCGAAACCGTCGATGTTTCATAATATTTTTGTGGCTGGTATGATTTAAATGTATTTTTTAATCAAATTTTTTGTTTGTGAAGTACTTTATCCCACATTACGTTTGGTATATTTTATTCATTTCTGGTTTGTCTTCTATTTTGTCCTAGGGGACGGACACAAAACCTAGTAAAAACCAGTTTCATAATTTACTGCTAATTTTGCAAATATTTTTCTAATATTAGGAAAAATTCTACTAGTATAACTATGTATAATATTGATAGTAACGTCAAAAGCCAGCTGATCTCAAATTGAACTCATTTATTTTAATTTTCATAAATTCTTTGATGAAGATTTAACGTGTTTTTTTTTTAATTTTTTGTTATTTAAAAAAATAATGTGTTTTTCTACTAAATAATTCACTTAACGTGACAAAAAAAAGTTCGGTAAGCAAAGTGTGCAGGTCTATATCAAGCAATGGTGAAGCAAAACAAAACGATGACAAACGGAGAAAATGGAAGAAGAAATAAAAATAAAAATTAAAAAAAAGTGCAATTGTGTATAAAAATATGCGCTTTGTTATTGCCAAATGCCAATAACTTATTGGCTCGTAGACCATTTTGATCAGTTTGATATTTAAGCATTACGAATTAGGTTATTTTTCTAATATTCTAGTCTTTCTAATGGTGTCCGCCCCCTAGATTTTGTCAATATGCAAATAATGCAATTATCATTGTTAAAAAGCATAAGATATTTTCTGATAAATAAAAAAAATATATATATGTATTTTGTTTCATAATTGATCAATGCTATTTGGTTAAAACTATTGCTGTTTGTTCCTTTTCAGTCATATGCCCGCTTCGTGTTGCTCGATAATGTTTTGTACTTGTTTGTATTCATTCATTCATTCATTCATACATTCGTTTATTATCATTCTTCATTCCGTTCTTTCTATTTGATTCCTCATTTAAATCATTTTTTTTTTTGTTCGGTTGCCAATGTCATATTGCTGCAAACAAAAATTTGCATCAAATGATTGGTATGCGTGGTTATTTCTCATTCATCGTTAGTATCTGCTGAATATTTTGTTACTCTTTTCCAACTTTGTTCAAATGTTCATAAATTTAGATTTGGTTCTCAAGTGGTAATCAGTAGCGTGCTTATTTTAATAATTTATTCGCTCTTTGGTTTGCAACGGCTATTCGAGATTCGTTTGATTCGCCCTAAGAAACCATGGTAATTGTGTGTGTTTGAGTGTGTGTGTGTGTGTAGAAGAGAGAAGAAATACATATTGAATATAATTCTCTCATCAATATTCATCTACACTGGGGGATAATTCACGATGGATGAACAACGTAACGCAACATGTCGATACTTTGCATAAGGTTGAACCAAGTGGTTCCGAGTGATAAAAAAAGAATCAAGTTGAAAACAAAATTGAATGTCTAAACTGGGAGTATGACGTGCGACAACTATCTACTTGTATATTTGTTGAAAGGTACATTTTCGTAACTGTTCCACTGTCATAGGTCATAAAAAGTGGTTCGTGATACGGTTTACGAGTGATCCATTGGCCTTTGAATATCGTCGAATAATAAAAAAACAACAACAACCCGAAAAAATCAAGTAAGTTCACAATAATTCACAATATCGATTGAGTAGTTTGAGTTCATGCACCAAAATCGGATGCAATGCATTCAACTATATGTGGGAGTACATAAAAGCAACACTTGATGTCATTAAATATTTAACCACAAATGGATATCGAAATTTATTACACTCATATTATATATTCCGTAGATAGTTGAACGCTTTGAAACGCCAGACAACATTTTTGGTTCGAAGCCAGGAATCAGTTCGATTTTTGTTTAAATGAATTTGAGTGGTGAAATCGAAAGTATCAAAATTTGCATTTACGTGTAACATCCAACATGATCCGACCCCCGTCATGTAAATTCCGATTTGGAATCGGGTAATGCTTACCTTTCGATTTATTCTATCGATTTGATTGTTTTGGTTTTCGAGTTCCGAACCCATATCAATTGCCATATTCCTTAAATTACCTAGAAAAAAAAAACAAACGAACAAACATACAGATTTTAAAGTCAATTGAAACATACACGCACAAACACGAAATCACTTGATAAAAACCAAAAATAAAATCAATTAGATAGTAACATGTTATCACCTATGAACCTTTTTATAATACCAAACGAATAATTTACAGTATTTTAGAATGAAATGTATTACCAATCATTGTATTGACTTGACCCATATTTTCTTCCATCTCGCATTCGCGTGCATCATTGGTAATCCTGAATTAAGAAATTTCATTAGAATTGTATTTGAATTTCGAAGGTTGTAAGATCATTGTTTGATTGAATGAATGGAATTAGATGTATAAATATTGCCATAATCTCCGGGATAAGAGCCTACCTTACGACATAGCCGGCCTGTTGCATTACACCATTTCGATCGTCCATTACACGTGTGGGCTGATTATTGATAATCTTTCCATCTTCATTGCCCTTCCATGTGATGTCATCCTCTTTGAATGACGAATTTCTGCGGGGTAGATTGAATTAAACAAATAAATCAGTATTGGTGGCAAGTGGTTAAAGAAAAGACTGTTTCCAAATCAAAATAAATAAAACTAAAAACAAGAAACCGATCATTAAGTAAAATCGATTTTCTATTTTTTCCAACGTATTCTAAATATATTATATATTAATACTAAATGTATACAGGGTGTCTCATATATCAGGCTCACTATGAAGGAGTGAAAATTTCTAAAAACCCTTTGGGGGGTATGTTAGGGGTAAAAAAAAGAAATTCTGCTCCGATAGAAATTTTCTATTTTTATATATATTCTATCTGATATATGAGACACCCTGTATATGTATTGAATCGTGTCTGAACCGATTCGGTGATGATTTAAATACGATTGAATGGAAATGTCAACAGGAAAAATTCGAAAATGGTATAATGCGTTTTTGAACTTTTCATTTAAATTGATGAATAAAATGAACACCAATCCAATTATAATTGGAACACAGATGTAATTAGCTTTTTTTGTAGTTGAGCCAGTGTGCCGATGCAAATGAAAAACCAAAATTTTAATTAAAAACCATGCAAAATCCTATCAATATTGTTTAAGCCAACTGGAAAATGAGAACAAACAATGGTTGGTATAGCTATAGCTTTTGATTTCTTTACCGCTCCACTCCTTCACTCCTTTCGCTTTTATTTTTTGTCTTTCATTTCAACCGTTCAGATTCAATGAAGCAATCAAAAATCCATTCAAGATTCAAGGAATGATCTGCGTTGAGCCATGCTTAGGTGCCAATGAATGGTAAATATGTGATGGATAAAAAGCTATCTGAATAAGCAATACGGTGAGTATAAGCTATAGGTACATATAGCATGCTATACATCAAATTGAATTAGATGCGATAACAATTTGTGCAAACTATGATATTGAACATTTATTCAACAATATAATTTTATAATATACTGAACAAAATTGTGGTGTATGGTATTTGTATGGTTACAGATAACAACGTTTTAAACATATACAAGAAATATCATCGTGTTACGGTACAAACGATATGATATGCGTTCGAACAAGCATTTTATTTTTAAATACATAGCTGCAGTGCCATAATACACAGAGAAGCAAATAAAACCGGATTCTTGGCAGAATAGAAAATAATCAAATCCAATTAAAAATGGTCTTATTTAATGTAACATATCAAGAATTATATGTATTACCAATGGAAAGTGAATGCCATAGAAATGTAATGCTTGAACACTTTATTCAATTACTGACACTCACTCACTAACATACATTCGTAATCGATTACTGAACCAAAAAGTGTAGTGTGCTTGATAGTGGTGTTTCCCGTAGTAACAGAACTCCATTTTTTTTTTTTTTTTTTGAAAAAAAAAGTTTTGTTGGTCTTTATTTGTCTTAAAAAGATGAAACCGTACGATGCAAACATTAATTTGCGTTAAAAAAATAATTTTCATTATTTTCGTATAGATCATCGGAAATCTCATTTTAGAGGTATAGAGACACTTCTTTGAAAGTGACCGTATTTCGTTGGCAATAAGTGGTGTTTTATAAGTGCATTTATAAACTGGCTTGCGTGCTTATCCATTCTGGAAGAATACAATGTTACGCACATTTTTCTATACGGTGTGTGCTTCAATCAAGTGAACATTTGCAAAGCATTCGCTTTGAATATCATACCCTTGTGGAAAAAAAATGACTGACTGACTATAAATTAAGTCAATTTTAATCACTTAAAAATGTTAAGTGATTAAAAAAGTGTTAAAATTACCAATAGATGATTGAAATCGAATATAGTCGGTTGTGTTTCAGAGTTAACTAAAAGTGATTATAGTCAACATAGTTGACAAAAGTCAATTTCATATACTTATAGTTAACCGTAGTTAACTATGATCACAATCGACATTTCTCAACTCAAATTACACGAAGACGCATATAGTCACTTATATTTAACTTTAGCTGGCTGAAATATCAGCCATTTTTGTCCCAAATTAGTCAATTTTTAGTCGACTATGAAGTCGAAATATTTCCACAAGGGTAGGAGTCATTTTACTTCCCTCACTATGCACAACGGTAATGACCTTTAAGATGGTTCTATCTATAGAAGCTTTATTTTAGAAATATAATATTTTGCAGGTAATATTTTGAATTTTTTTAGCATAAAAACATGCAATACTGATAGGTAGGAATAGTAATCTTTTCTTTCTGCAAACCGAAATCCTGAAAAATGTACAAGTTTTATGTTGAGCAAGACAATTTCCACAAACTTTTATTATAACTAAATTATACGCATTTTCAAAAGAAAAAAGAAGGAATTGAAAAGGTAAAATCATTTTCGACACGGTATCATTTGAGAATCATACAAATATACGCAGAAGCAAATTGCAATACAGCATACCAGGAAACTGATGCTAGCTCAGAGGCTGAATGCAACTCATTGCTGTGCATATGCTTACGTTGTAATGGCTTGTAATGGTTTCAGTATGATTCTACAATGACACTGCTTACTCTCAGTGGATAAAACGAATATGTAAAAAAAGACATTGGATTAAATTTCAACATATTTGTGAGTCAGCAGAGCATCGTGATTTGCTGCTGCTCAGCATATAGCTGAGAGCTGAGAAATGCTGAACTCGTGCGGCTAACGCATACGAAACGGATGACACGCACACATGCATTCTCCCCGTTTAAACGGTTATAAACAGTTGATTGGACGTTCAATTCAAAACTCAAAACTTAGTAACCAGTTGAGTTTGAAATTGTGTTGCGACCGACATTTGAGAAGCTGCGAGAAAAACATCACGTCGCATCCCTCGTTATTTTGCTTACGTAAGTGAAAACAAGAGATGAGATGCGACGTGCTGTTTTTGCTCTCAGTCTTTCATATATTCTGAAAGTGTACGTCTAACGCATACGAAACGGATGCACGATACATATTCCCCTTTCACTTCGTATGTTCGCTGGTATAGTGTGTAACAGCACATACGAAGCGAAAGGGGAATATGTATCGTGCATCCGTTTCGTATGCGTTAGCCGCACGAGCTCAGCATTTCTCAGCTCTCAGCTATATGCTGAGCAGCAGCAAATCAAGATACTCTGTGAGTCAGTTGCAATTGGATTGATGTTAAAACACTCAAAATACTCGAAATTGGTGATAATGAAAAGCAATTTAAAATTATTATGCAAAAAAACGTTCCAAGTGATGAAAATTGTAAATTACATTAGCCTTTTCTTTTAAATCATGCGAAAAAAGCTCAAAATTAAAGCAAACAACAATTCAAGAGCCCAATTATAAATTCAAATACGAATTCTTAATCTATAAATACATAAATATGATACACATACCGTGTGTGTGTGTGTGTGTGTGTGTGTGTGTGTGTGTGTGTGTGTGTG